ACCCTCCTACTGGTTTTCTGGATCCCTAACCTTCCAAATTTCAGTTTGGCTTCGTAATTTCCTTTATTTTTTTGGCTTTTGAGATTCCTGTCCCTTCAGAATTTCTGATGATCTTCCATGGGTGGGTATAATATTTTCTGAGGGATGACATCCTTCTACCTAGAGCTGAAATGTTCAGAAAATGACTAACTTGACTCCTTTATCCCACGAGTCCTGTCGCCCGTGTTTTCCCTTTGAGTGGGTTTCTTTCGTGAGAACCGACCCTTCTCGTCACGCAATGGTGGTTGTGTTTCTGGTGGCAGTTGCGCCTTTGCAGACACTCCAGCTGTTTTCGGCGTTTCATCGCCCAGGGAACTCAAAGCGAAGCCTCCAACCTTAAAAAGTACACCGTGACCACTCTGACTTCCTTCGCGTACGATCACGACCGTCTTCTCTCTCCGATGTCGGCGCAATAAGTGCTGCGAATTGGCTTCTCAGTTTAACCACGTCAGGAGAAGACGAAAGAAGTGTAATGTTAAACACATTTCTAGGCATTTTTTGAGGAACACTTGTTCGGGACAAAAAGGATAGCGGTAAGTGGAACGCGACTCGCGATAAAAGTCTCGCCGTCATGTTTACTTTTGTTTTTTCTTTTCTTTTAAATACTCACGCGCTCGCGCCATTCGTACCCATGCTTCGCGCGCCAAAAAACTATATAGAGCCACCTTAACATCAAGCTTAGAGACATGACTCAGTAATCCTTCATGAACCTACTCATTTTTCAGGCATAAACCCAATCGCAATACAAAATTCCTTTCAATGATAAGCCTCTTCTTACAACAACCCCCCACCCACCCACACACCCCCTCCCCTTCACCTCCACCACCAGCTCCACCTTTGAAAAGAAGCCTTTTGCTTCAACCAAGGGTTTATTAGCTGGAATTTGATGACATCTCTGTGGCAACAGGACAAACAATAATTACTTGTCCTGTGTTAATTACCAGAGTGTTATTAGGGAGGACATTCAGTGGTATATTAAGCGTTTTTGCTGTCCCCCATACTACACCCCTTGAGTTCCTTTGGATTTGCAGCAGACGTCGATGGAGGTTCCCCATGTTAATTACTTACAAAGGAATGTGAAGTGTGGGAATCCCCTTTGAAGCTATTTAGGGTCTGAAAGTTCTTGTGTAGCATACTACTTGCAAATGCCAAGACTTCAGCTCACAATTATTGCCCTCTGCACACACCACCAATGATTCCAGGAGGTAATCATGTTCTCTTGGGAGAGATTTCCCATCTATCACAAGGTAATCAACTGCTTCATTCTTATAACCCACATAAAAGGGTAAAGGAGAAGGTAGGTGTTGATCACTAGTGTTTGATATTCACTTCCATGCTGCTTAACACAACAACTCACAACTAGAAATTGGCAAACAAATCTGGTATCTTTATTCACATGTGCTGACTGTCAGAGGAATACAAGTGGTAAGGTAGTGAAGGTAGCAATTATGGCAGATAACTTTTCTTTGCTAAGCTAAGCAGGAATATTAATACTGACTACAAAGGGTAATAAAGTTCTTGGTTACAAACATTGTCATTATTATATCATTAATTAATTATTTCTTTTGTTCATGCTGTTATTTTACTTTCTCTTTCATACCCTTGAAAGGGCCCCCTCAATCAGTTTGCATCATACACAAGAGTAGTTATTTGGTGGTTGCCATTTTCTGCTGCACTATAAAATATCGCTCACATAAGGTCATTTCTACTCAATGCACCCTAGTATGTTCAATCCATCTTGCAAAATCTCGCTCACAGATCTTACATCGTCTGATCAAAGACAGGTGTCCAAATGACAACACCACCAAGTGGCCACAATGTACACCAATGGAGAGGGAGGATATTCCAATGTTAACTTGTTTAAATTAGCAGGTTATAGATAGGGAAGCCACAGCACCTGGGATTAAACCTAAACCACGATTACAAACTTTAAGACTTAATAATTGCTACCTCACATGATAGAGAAGCACTACATTTATGCCTCTCCTTGGGAATTGAAAATGATTAATTCATCAATTCCCCAAAATAAAATAAGAAAGGGAAAACAACTTTTTAACACTATTAAACTAAGGTACATTAAAATACTGCACTCCCACAAGATACACCTACATACTTACATAACTAAGTATTATTGCTGCAAGACTGAAACACTGCATTTGCTTTAAGGAATTATGTTTCCAATACCCTTATTATATAGGGACATGACAAAAAGAGCTATTAATGAATTTCCAAACAGGTGCACAAATAAAGAGAAATGTTAAACCATTTCTCTTAATTTGAGTTTTAGCATTGGCCTGAAGTCTGGATTTCACTAGATAAAAGCATAAACTTGCAGACAGGAAAGGGCACAAGAGTCCATACAAACACAAGCTATCTACAACACTCTTCCAATATTGTTATTTTGTTTTGATGTTATCTCTGTCATTTGATGTCCTCAAAACTCTGATTTGTAACCACTCAACAAAGCAATGAAGATAGTTGCAAGTATGACAGAAAAGTAAGAAATCCATTTACACACAAGCACACTTCGATTTGTGTGGTCATGCTGGCATTCCTCAGTGTTTTGTACAGACTCATGCATTTCACCTGAGGCCTGCTTCAATCGATACAGAAGTATTGTCCAATGTCTAATTTTGGCAGCCAGTTACCAACAGACACCTCAGTCAAGTTCTGGCTGATAAACATTCAGGTGCGAATCCATGCAAATTTCCACTGTTTTACAGAAATTGGCCATATTTTTTAAATGACTCAGAAATCCAGATAGGGTGACTTTACGAGTTAAAATCGAAAACATTTTCTGGGAAAACATGCCCCAGGACCCCTCTACAAGCTTGCACCTTCCATGCTCGTTGTTTTGGAAATTGGTCACCATTTAGCGTAGATCCAGCAAAAGGAATTGACCTCAAAGTTACATGCCATTTACAGTGATTATAACCATAGAGTGGTTTTCAGTTGAGTGTTATAAAACTAAAAACCAAAGTAACCCCTCTGGCCCGTCACAGAGGACACAAACAATGCAAAGAACCAATCAAAAACTCTAAATTCATGTACCTAATAACAAGTGCCAGATGAGTGTACCAGCCAGTTATATTTGGTTTTGCTCTCATGCCTGACTGAATGACAAAGTGTAGCAGAGTAATCTAATGCCCTGGCAGAAGCGAATTACTTTCAGCACTCAAGTGAAAACGTTTCTGTTCACAACCAAAGTTAGACAAGATAGTTAAGAAGTTATTATGTATCAAATTATGTACTTAGCTCTGGCCCTATTCCCCAGTTGGGGGACAGAAACAAGTAAGGAACTTAAGAAGTATTAAACTATTGAAAGAGTGCCAAATAGATCATCTTCAAGTAAGTGGTACAAGCCAATTTCTGTCCGGGAGTTGGCATACCATTTACCTAAAACACAAATCAACTAGCTTCCCCATGTAAATGTTATTATAAACAACCTAAATAATCTTTATCATGGCCATTTTAATAACATTACATTTTGGCCAGAAATGCTCTTTTAAATGTACATGTAGTTTTGTTTCCCTTTTCTCAATTTGTTGTTTATGACATTTAATCTCAATTTCTCTCAGTTTTACTTGTTTGGGTTTTTCCAACCTTCATCAACTATCATTTTGTGGTTTAATCAATTTGGTAACTTTGAACATTGCAAAATAATCTGTCAGTCATGATGTATAAACATGTCAGGTACAGTAAAAGAAGCAACAAAGATAATACTCAAACTAGTGCAGCACATGGTACACAGCACAGTGAAAGAACATCACCACTCACACCTAACATACCAAGGTTATGATCTTACACAGTGCCTCTGTCTCAAGATACTAATAAAATTGCTTTGTCAGCAAAAATAAATTTGAATCAGTAAAAGGGGATAATGAAAACAACTTGATGAGAATGTTTTTCCAATGACTCAAGTAATAGCATGAGCATTTTGTGCAGGTAAAAGAGTACACAGTATAATGACCATTGCAGACATTAAGAGTGGGTACAGGTACAATGTCACTGGACAAAAAATAATGATTGCTCTAGTTCTGAACCAATTTGACCAAGAGGACACCAAATCTCTATTCTATGCATGAATTTCTGTGAATAGTTAAAAGCATTCTACTCATCACTGGAAAAACAACTTTTAATGATCAAGCCAAATTTCAATTTCATACTGAAAAATTCGTAACTGAAGTGCCTAGCCTATCTTGCAAATTATTAATGATAACAATCACATTTTACTGTAGTTCATCCATTTCACACCTTTTGTAAATAAGCAGTCAATATAAAATAACTTTATCCAAAACATATATTATATTGTATGTATGAAATGACGCAATATGAGTAAGTGTGTAATGTAAATATAATTAATATTGTGAATCATAAATTATCAATTGACTACCCTCCAATCCACACCAAACATTTGTGCACAAATAATGAGTAATCATTGTATGTAAATATATATTCTACAACATGAATGAATTTATGACTGGGTGTTGATAACTAAAATGAAGGAATTGAAAACAACGTAGAACTGAATAGATATAATAGACCCTTTGCAAAAAGCTATCACGTGGCCTTTGCAAAAAGCTATCACGTGGCCTTGTCAATCAGAAAAAAATGTCCTGGTATAAAGTAAATACCATAAGTACAAATATTTTGATACCACTGATCTCTTATGAGCATTTCATGTAATATATCAAACACGAAAGACTGTGTTTGACCACATTTCCAAACACCCAGAATGAGAAAAGACTTACAATGCACCATGAAGCAGAGCATTTGTGGCAAACTTCAAGGTGTTTGGAAATGCAGTCAAATATGGTCTTGAGTGATTGATATATCTTCTCAATCGGAACTAAACCTAAGGAGAAAACAGAGAAATAAAATCATGAAAATGTATGCAATTTAAGATCAGATATCCAAACATGGCCATGATTTCCTTTGTTAACCTTGATAAATTATTGATGAGTTTGAGAATTAAAAATCAAGAAGAGGTTGATTACAAGATTGATTTCAACAATGCAATCCAGCAAACGAAACTGTTCAATTTCAAACGATCATAAAATCTGACACTTACATGTAAAGGGCTGTCATTAAGTTTTGATTCACCGATAGCCTTGATCTTTGCACCTGTAACAAATTTGTTACTTTATTGATGAATTGTTTCAACAACAGCCAAGTTCACCCGTAGCGACAAGGGCCAGTCCAGCATGCTTAGCCGTTACAGGTTACAGCCCTTACTGACAGCCACGCACACATGTACACATTCATTAGTCAAGTGATTTTGGCATTCTTACTCATTTTCTCAGCTTTTACTGATTTCTGGTCTCTGTTTCTTTCCACGATCATTTTTGATTCCTCACAAGGTCACGTGATGGGCTTCTGCAAAAGGCCTATTTGTACTCCAAATAAGAAGATACTAGAGATACTAAAATTCTAAAATTCAACAGTACTTAAGAACAGAGATGAGTGCAATATATATAGTGTCCAGAAGTTGTTGTTTTTTTTCTCTCTTCAGGATGGTGGATTTAACTTTGCAGTAGCCTGATGTCAGGCAAACAAGGTTTGATAAGTTTACTTTTTTCAAGCTTTTTTCAATCATTTTCAAGGAAATGATTATACACAATGTCAAGTTTGAATTTTCTTAAAATTTCTTTCCAATCTGAAGCACTGTCACTTCCAGGATCAACTTAACCACTTATCCGTGATATCATGGCACAGCATTGCTTACATGAACCCCATTGTGTTTTTTGAAATTAGCCGTTTGCAATAAGAATCTCTTATTCTATTACGGGTAAGACGTTGGAGCTATGGACTGGAGAAAATATACCAACATACTATTAGAGTGAATTATTTTACATCAGGAGTACTAAGTGCCTTTTCGTACACAGTTTCAATTTTTTCCCACAGGGAGAGACAGTCGCAAAATGTTTGGTCCAATTCTAATTACTGAAAATGAATTTCCAGATTCTAAGAACCTCAAAGTAAAACTTGAAGTTAAATTGTTTGGGAAAAAATATAGGGGTAGAATTGCATGAATCTTAGAAAAAATCTTGTTAGTAAACCCACATGTACCAACAAAGGTCTTCTTAATATTCAATGGTCCTGAAAATTACAACTTTCTATACAGTTACATTAATGCCAGCACAGTACAGGGGGTAGCAATTCTAGCATTCTAAATTACAAATTCATTATTCTAAGCAGAATCATGTCAGAAGTTAGACCATTAGTTTACTACACTATTCTAGCCAGGATCACTGCCACATGATACAATACACTAAATGTAAATCATTACTAATCAGTGATTTTTGAATTTTTTTCTCAGTTGGAGTAGTGCTAACAAGGTCTCTCTTTTAACCTTACAACGTGAGGCATGTCTGGCACTTTTTCAAACAAACTGCCTGACAGTCTCCTAGTGTCCCCTGCAAGTGAAGTTTACATTACTTTACCCATCAGTTTGTGTAAAAAAACAAAACAAACAAGAATGAACAAGTGGAGAGATCAGACTGTACTTGTCAATGCACTGAACATATGTATCATTACAGGCCTCCAATGCAGTATTTAACTTCATGTTCAAAGAGAAGACCTTTCCAACAGGAAACTAGATCAATTATTGCATACACGATTATCTACTAAAATTACATGTATTTACATAATGCCCTAATCATGACCATACTATTTACATGTTAATATACAGTACCTCACCACACTTTAAAATCCCATGCCAATATAGGATCACTTCATTTCTCTTTCACAGAAACCTGGCTGATGTTCGCACTTTCCAAACACTCTCCATTTTGCCCAAATGCAGTGACCAGAACATCAGAGAAACACTTCTGACTGTCAAACCTTGGTGTAGGATTAACCCCAATGATAAGAGGCTCTAAGCTGTCTTTCAAAAGTACATCTACACCATACACTGCGCAGAGATTCTCTGTACTTCCTTCCTGAAAAGACGACAGACTTGGTGCCACAGCATAAAACAGTTTAGCAATGCTTTCATGAATCTTTGACTGAATGTCACCCCATGTTGTTTGCCTCTTTGTCAAGTAATTGGAAGTTAAGTCCTTCAAAAACTCATCGTGGGTCACCTTGTGATTTACTATTCCATTCTTCTTGATGTCCGAACTCACGCACACAAGAGCTGAAGAGTCGTACTCATCCAAGAAAGCTTTGTGGTTGGTCTCAGTTTCTGCCAGGTTCACATGTGGAGTGTTGTGTATCAGAAGCTGAAGTGGTAGTAGAGATTTAACTGTGACTGCATACTGTAGACAGAAACGCCGCTTCTTGCATACAGCCGTCAGTAAGCAGTCTAGGACAATAAACAAAACAACTGCCAGTTGCTATGGGTTGTTCAAAAAGGAAAATTAGAAAAAAAAAACATGACAATGCAATGGAACATAAATAAATAATTTCTCTCAAGGAAAAAAAAATGACTTGAAAAATATTATTGTTCAGGCTGAAAATGAAATAGCACTACACAAGAACAAACAAATATTGGGAGAACCAAGTATCTTCAGTTGATGCAAAGTAGTCAATACAAAATGAAAAGTATATATCTATGTGAAATTGAGTAGTGTAAGTTACATTCGGATTAACAAAATGGATTCTGTGTTGCACTGCAACTGTTCAGTAATTTATTTCAGATGATGTCAAAATGTGGTAAATACTAAAACATTGCCACATGAGGTGATAGCTGAGTGTGTCACTGAGGTTGATGTTGTTATCACTGCTGAGAGGGCGAGAGCTAATTCCCAGCCCTGCAGAAGGAGTTGAGTACTTGTACATGTATGTGAATTATACTGTGTCTTTTGAAACACTGCATGCAGAGATGACAAAAAGATGTACATGTTGTCTGATAAATAAATAAATAGATAAATACATTTTGGTCACTGGCCCCACTTATTTTCAGTTATTTCTACTTACACTGCGATGCTACCAAATGGCCAATTTCTGTACACCTGATCACCCTCCGCAGATCACTGGTTACAATTGGCCGTATGCTGAGAGTGCTGGGATCTGCCGCCCTTAAGATCCAGTAACTGGAAATACCACTGAAATAATGGTCAGCACACAAAGCTGATAAATGGGTTGACAGGTCACAAGAGACCGGAAACCAAGGCACGCTACCCCACACCTCTTGAACATGGGTACAGAGTAATTGGCGATGAAGTAGGTGTTCTTCCCCTCTGAGGCGGTTGACTCGTGCATCACACCGAATACTCTGCCCAGGCGTGTTCCACCTCTCCAGCCAAATAGCTTCTGCTTCTGTCGATGATGCTACAAGAGTGCATCCTAAATCTCTCAAAACTGGCCTCTTCTCTTTTCCATTCTGTTCGACAAAAAACTTCAAGTTCAATTTCTTATCTTTCGAGTGAAAACAGTTCACACTTTCTTTCCTTCCCTCTAAAGAACCAACATTGATCACCACATTGTTTTCCTTCGTTATAGTGGGAAACTTTGCAAGTTCAACCACAAAGTTGCTAGGACAGCTTTCAGGAAGGGAAGAGTTGAAGGCTAAGAGCCTTGCTTCTCTTTGTAGTTCTGTTTCTGCCACGCCTAGTGGTGGACAAAAGTTTCTAGCACACATTTCACCTACTTTTAAATCTGTCAGAGGCCAAAGAAGAGAATAGAACACTCCAGTTCCAGCAAAAGCAAATGGGGAACACCTGACATTAGGTTGTGTGCTATGTACAATGGCTGATCCTACTTCATCCATCAAATACCAAACAGGTTTTCGCTTATCACCATCTTGCGTCACTGCTTGATATGTCTGGTTATAAAACCACATGCTGTCTAAAACCTGGTATATTTTGTAGTCAGTTTCATGATTTTCATCTCTTGCTCGATCTGATATTTCTTTTTCTGTCAGATGCTTTTCTCCCTTGATTAAAACCTAAAATGGAAATGTCAAAATATTGAAGATTAAAATCAATCTAAAAGTCGTTAGATTTTTAAAATAAAAGAATATTGTCAAAATAACAAAGCAATGTGAAGCCAAAACACAACTTAGGGACACAGAGTGCTCAATATTGTTAATGTTCATGTTAATGTAGATTTTTGAAATATCAACATCAGTGGTGTATTTATGCTGGCAGCTATTGTCAATAAATTCAGTTCGAATAGGATTTTAAAATCTGTGAGTTACCATAATTATGTTGGTGAATGATTTGATGCAAAAAGCATTTTTGTAGCAACTTCCTTTTTAACTGCTGTCCATCTTTGATAAGACCTTGTTGATTTCTGAATTTCAAACAGTCAGACACATATTAAATTCTTTCTCCTAAAATTCAGTCACAAGAGGTGTGAACGGAGTTCAAAACACAAGGAATGTAGGTTGGCAATTTGAAAAATTCTGCTCTGTAACATTATCAGTTGACCCCTACAGCCAGTCAAGTGCTTGATTATTTTTCCTGTCACACCAATTTTGCTATTTTCACTAGGGGTCTTCAGTGTGTTATGGAAAGGTATGTATAATCTTACACTTAAAATCTGCATGTACCAATTATTTATTACATAGATAAATCTAGCTACAGGTGCGATTTGCTGTCACATCCAACATCTGTTTCTTTTGTACATGATTGAAGTATTTATCTAGGTGTCTTTTAACATGTTTGTATTGGTTTGTGTACAGAAGTGGAAATCCTAAACTATTCAATAACCCAAACTTGTCAAATGATGTCAAATGATATTTCTTATCAATAAAGAAACAAAATTGTTAGAATTCAACTGATAGCATTGACACAAAAAAAGTATAAAATGTCACTAAAACTGCACAGTAAAACGCTTGAGGATTGATTTAAGGTGTCTGTACTTAATGTAACATTTTGAAAATTCAAATATTGGATTGCTTATGAAAAAAGTTTTTCCACTTGACTTTTGATGGCAGAGCCACTCGAAAAGAAAACATTAAATTTTCTGTTAGCGTTTATATTGGCTATAATACGTAAAGTGTCCTCGATCAAAGTTGTACGGGAGCTCTATGTAATTAATCAATAACACCGTGTAGCGAGCCGGTGGGAGCGCAATTTGACGCCGATCCTAAAAATTTTCTGAAGACGTAATTGTCACGCTTGGCGCGAGCGAAAATGTGTTATTTATTCTAGATCAAAGCTCCAAACTTACTGGCCATAGCTCGGATTCCTCATTCTCCGGTTTCTGTAGCGTCATGACCAACAAACCGGGAGAATCAAAGGTCCAAAACGATTCATCAGGGCAGACATTCCCGTAAAATTCCCCGTCGATGATCGGAGCGCAGCCCTTTATGCCCAAAGTCCAGCGCTTCGTCGACAACTTGCTTACAACATCGCGCTTTTTTGCCGTTACAGGGATAGACACAAACACTGCCATAGCACCTTCGTCTTCCTCTGACCAACTGTACGCCGTGGTCGTACCATGACCAAAGCCCAGCGACTCTGGGTATTGCTCCTTTTCCCTCTTGTATCGACAATACATTTTGTGAATGTATTCCTCGGAGAGTAGTTTTGCTTTTTCCATACCGACGGCGTGAAGAAAGCCAGTTTTGAATTCCTCGAAGGTCATAATTTTTGACCTGTCGGATTTGGACGGCTTTTTAGTTTCATAAGAATCGCTAGTGATTTGACACAAAGCTTCAATTAGATCACCGTCAGTTGACTGAAGTGTTTCTTCGGCTTTTTTCGAATCGACTCCGCCGATTTGCGTAAGGACCTGGGAGCTGTCTAGCACGTCTTCATCGCCGCTTGCCTCCCTGTTGGCGCTGTTTTCACCTGGGCGGCACATCATTTCCTTCATCCTCGCCAAAAGTTCGGGCGATTTCTCCAAGTTTTTCTTAGCCGTGGGTCCGCCGTCGCTGGACCAAGCGTGCTCGAGGAGGAACACATCGCTAAATTTTTGCAAATTCCGTTTGGCGTGGAGCGACCAACGACCCGGGGACACAAACTGTTCATCTTCGTGCAACTCAAATGCCTCCGTGGCGTCGCAGCTTGCGATAGGAGACAGCTTCTTGTAAAGTCTTTCCCATAAATGTTCCGGTAAACCGATAGATAGAAGCTGCGGTCGGTGGAGAGCAAGGAAATCTTCCCAGCTAATGCACGTGGTCTTTCCCATAGAATGCGACGCCATCTTCACTCCCTCCCAACAATACTTTGGCCTCTTGTTGAAAAACGAGACAGATCAAAAGCAGACTCTCAACACCCACTGCTAAGAGTTTCTATCAAGAAATAAAGGGAGAAAATAGATAGTGATCACATCGTACCCGCACCAGTCTCCTCTGAGACGAGATTGCATACGAGGTAGGAGTGTTGGAAGAAGACAAGCTCGCCAGTCTGCAACAACAAAACCATGAATAAACCAAAGAAGATTATGATGGATGATGAGGATCCTTACAACATTGGAGGCTATAGCAGCTCGGATGATGACAGAAACGAGAGGTACTTCAATTAATCTCAGCTTTGCCTCTCTCAACTTTGGGAATTTAACGCCTGGCTGAAATTGTCTTTATGACACAAACACTTGACGAAATTTCACAATAACATGCGTTATGTTAATGTGCTTGTATGTAAATCTATGTTGCTTTTAGTCTGCTTTGATATGCTGTGCGAAAATTATGAGTATATCCTCATTTTGAATCCAAAAAATGCTCTACCTACGTCGCGATGACGTAAAACTGCCCCAGGCACCTAAGGTGACGATTTCTTCGTTCAGAAAGTATGATAGCGATTTTTGTGGCTATTCCATCTGTCAGTGACTTGACGTTTTCTCTGCCTACCTGTCGGAAACTCGTTATGGGATGAGCAAACGTGATTTATGTCCACCTTGTTGGGATAGGTCTTAGTTCTTTGAGGTGCAAAATTGTTGGTCAATTTTCATAATTGTTACTTTTTCGGTAAGACTCTGGCAAGGCAACCAGACACCATGTGGGACAGGAAGAATGCTGAAATTGAACCTGTGCAGCGACCTCTAGGTTGTATGTCAATCACGTGTGAGGCCTTCAGACAGAAGAAATGCCATCCATCTTTCTGGGCATTCAGGCTGTTGACAGAAATTTATTCACAAACTTTCCACACAATTTTGCCAACAATTGAAAATTTTCTTAATATCATTAAATTTTGAATTGGGCTGATACTGTTATTAATAATGGTAATAGGACTGAGTGGAGTCCAGTGTGGTCTGTAATCATACGAGTGACTAACAAAAGCGGAGTCCGATTTGTTTATCACGAGTGTGATTAAACTGTGGAACTACCCCTGAGTTGATTGAAGTCTTGCTCTTTATCTGACGTGCACTGATAAAGATGTCAACCGAAAAAATTAAAACCCAGGAGATCACCAATTTTAACCCCTCAACCCCAAAAAATAATAGTTTCAATTATTTCAACAATTGATGTTGAAAGTAGTAGCTCTGCCGATTTAGCCACAAAACTCGTCAAATGTTAAAAATTTTCCCCCAAAATAGCATGGAAAATGTATTTTAAGCTCTTTCCTTCATATCTGCGAGATGTTGGTGGCCATGTGGGAGACCCCAGGATTTGGTCTGTCTTCAAGAGACTCCCAAATAATCCAGGAGAGTTACCATAGATGAACTGATGCCATTGGTACTACAGTCAAATCTCTATTAAGTAGCCACTCCTGGGGAAATGGGAGGTGGCCGCTTAATAGAGGTTAATGTGCTTTGAATATTTTTTTATCATTGGGTCTTGAAATTGCTCCGTAAACATGGAATCATGTCAAGACAATCATGATAGATGTGTGTTTGAATGTCAGTTATCAGGCATCACATTCTGTTTCAGACTCTTGTCTGTCATTGCCTTTTCCAAAACAAATCCAAACTACTTGTATTAAATTTCGAGTGGCAGTTAGATGGGGGTAAAGACAATAGGAAAACTTTCATCAGGATGATCAAAACATGACCATGGCTGCTAGAGGTAGCCTGAGTTGATAGGGGTTTTGTTTGCAGTATTTTACTGACAATAATTTCAGCACTTCAATTATAACTGGCCATTCAATGTAGGTTGGCTGCCTTATAGAGGTTTGACTGTAGTGTGAATTGATTTCTGCAACTGTCTCGCAATCGGACAGTCCCTTAATTGACGTCATAAGTTCCCACCTCCTTTAGCTTTTGATTGAAGTTCTTAATTGATGAATAATTGATTGACATAATGAAACGTCTCTGCTTTTCCACATCCCTTCTCTGAAACTTGTCTTTCCACAATTTCTTGCCACAACTCCTATTAACATTCTCTCCCTTCAGGGTTGTTACTAAACTTTGGGGGACATGACTTATTCGTGGTTGAAGTAGGGGGCTGATTCTGCCATCTTTTTCTATAGAGTCAGACAAATAGCTCAACAGAGTTTCCAGCCAAGATCTTGTAATGGATTGTGATTTTCAGCGGCAGCCGGCTACTTTGAAATTTTTGAAAAGAGAGCAAATAAAAATTATTTGCTTTCTTTTCAATTATTGTTTGAACAATCAAGAGGTTTAGAAAATTAAGGATTCCTCTCTATATTAGAAATAATGGAAGTCACTTTCCAAGAGTTTTAGCTCAAAAATAAAACCTACTTTATGAAACATTCTCCCTTTGATATTGTAGCTCTGATGATGAGCTTGCTGTGGAAGGATTGAAACGTCAAAAGCAAGAAGCAGAGTCTAGCAGTGAGGATGAGTTTGAGAAAGAAATGGACATGGAACTAGAAAGTGTAATGAGAACCTATGAAAACAGTCAGGGTAGGAGTGATTTGTGTGCTTTCAATTAAGCAAGCCTTTTCTTATGAATGGGATACTTGTATCGGCGCGAACAACGAGCGGCTAATGTGACGCTTCGTTGATTTCATTGTCCAGCAAAACAAAAGGTTTCTTTTGTTTCACGTTCGACAAAAAGATGCCGCTAGGAAAAGTGTCTTTTTTTGCATACGTTATTTCTCGAAAACGAAGAGCAACCCAGTGCAAAAAAAATACAGGGCAATACTTTCAGCTGAAATGAAGTCCACATGCAAAATTTCAGCTAATTTGGAGCAAAAAAAAAAAAAACAACCAAAATCGTCACTTATCCCCTTTTATGACTAGCTTCTTCAATTAACTGTCATCTTGATCTGAACTTTTTTAATTGTCTTGTATCTGACAATGAAGTTATTAGTTTTTAATTGACCCAAGAAATCTGGATTTTTGCAATGTCTGTCATTAAAAAAATGCGTGGAAGTAATGATGAGAATTTGATGCTGATTAACAAATATCTGCATTTAAAATTGAAGCATAACTGAGCTTGTTTCAGTGTCATTCAGCCACTCTCCACTTAGCCTGTGAACAGGCTTTTCTGTTTGGCCTTGATATATACATACATACATCATACATAAACTTTATTTAAGTGTCAGAGTATTTAGCTAAAGATAACTAATTGGGGACACTAACATAAATACAAATATAAAATATAAAANATACAATTCCTAAAAAATATTCTATTTTTGCTAAAATCTGTCTGAGCTAATCTAATATACTTAGAAGAATGACCATTTGCAGAATATTGGAAAAACTGTCTGAACAACCTTTACTTTTTACTTATTCAAAATGTCAGGCAATATCATTTCCATGATGTGCAAAATATGAAAAAATTCCACCGAACGAAAGTACAAATATTAAGGAGTTTATGCCAAAATGAGGAATATATATGCCTGTCATAAGATGAGATGTTGCCATGGTAACGGTCTTAATCCAAAAATTGGCAACCAAAAAATAGGCCTTATGTTAACAGTACCCATACTAGCAAATCTCTACAGGGAAAACTTTAAGAGAAATTAACTAAGTTTCCTTTTCTAACTTGCGCACTATAGGGAGTGTGTTCGTAAATACTCTAGGGAGCCACCTTAAGTGATCACACCAAGTGCAGTTTTAATGCTACGCACGAGTTACAAGCAGGAAAAACAAAGACATGCTGCAAAATTACTCTCCACAAAATGATTGCCAAAAGGTGACCAAATGATTATCAACAAAAATGATCCCAAAGCCAGAAGTTTGACCTAAAAAAAACAATAAAAATTGCACTAAGAATTGCTGATTCATGACTTCATGCAGTGAGGTCCTGTAACTAATTTATTTGCAAATTTTTTCCTCAACCTCTGAAACACAAGTTTGTCTTTTTTTGAAGGCTCTGACTTTGCAGATGAACTGTAACCAAGTGGTCTGAATTGGTTCCAAGTTGATATCCAATTCCTTGTGAACTGAAGGATTGTCTTGGAACTGAACAAAGAACTGGTCTGTCGTGCCGAGTATAGTGTACAGTGCAACGGATGTGTTGAAAATTCACCTTGTATCAATATGCAGAATCAACTGATTTCTTCCACACATCTTCCCATCTCATGGCCACACAGGATTAGCCAAGCTGTCCAAGCTAATTGGCTTGTGATATAACCATCTCCAAAGTGTGACCAAGGAAGAACCCAGGAATCAAATTCAGGTCCAAGAACATCAATGATGGTCCAATGTAAACTACGAAATGTCAATTCTCTATTCTTTAGCAAATTTATCCCCTTAAAATAACAATAAAAAAATCCTGGAAACACACAAGGGCTTGAAATTCCATTTGTGTACAGTTAACTCTGCCCAATGTTGGACATCCTAGACTATCGTTTTTGTTCATGTTTTCTCGGGCAGTCAAAACCCTGAACAACTTGTATGTTTCCAGTTTCTGAAGTGCTGGCCTCCTCCGTTTATCTCCTCCATTCTAAAACATGCTTGAAACGCCAACGACACGCTGTTTTTGATGCTAAAATGATCACACTGACAATAGAAACTGAAGAATCCACGCTGACTTCAAAGTCAAGAATAAAAAGGTGGGGAATTATTGCCATTATATGAACTAGAGTCACTTGGTCCTGAACACTTCTCGCAGAGTTCTTCATAAGTTCCTCCTTGAAGAAAACACACAATAATCACTGTCATGTTATCGCAACCCAGTCCACCCATTTGACAGTCAGGGGCAAGACATCTTGTGAGAAGCTCTTCACAGATCTAAACAAAAACAAAAATAACAACAAGGAAAATAAGATGACAGCTAACTTTGCTAGTACAAGGACACTCCAACAGCCCTGACCACCCTTAAAAAGCTAGGATATAAACCACCAAACCACTGACAACTATTACACGCTAACCTCTAACTGTGGATTTAGTACATGCTTGTTAAATCAAAGCTTTAAAATAAAAAAAATATTCATAGTTTCAGTTTTCTGAGACCTTGGTGTTACAAGTCAGACAATGTCCCTTGTTGACAATTTTGTTAATTCTCATTACCTGTCTGCTTGAAAATGTAGTGTTATCATGAGGAGAATATCAGTGTTGATTTCAGTTTGTTTACATACCTGTTCAGGTTCCATTCTTTGAGCTATTCGTGTTCTCACAAAGTCTACCACTTCTTGATTGGACAAAACATCCCAGATACCTGTAAACAAATCAAACATACTAAAAATATGAATCTCGTCATAAATTGAATGACAACCACTAACAGGCCACACTAACATACTAATTAGCCATGTGGTCTCACAGTCAGGGGTTTCATTAAGGGTCAGGTACCAGGCAAATTGACCTGCCGTGAGAACGATTGAATCGCCTGCCTGGTTTGACCATCTAGGGAAAAGTGACTCACAAGGCCCAAAGAAATCAGCTTCTTGAATTTAAGTATCTCTGCTAACATGTATCACAATTACTGACTTAGTCTGTGCCACACTAATACTACTTGAAAAAGATAGACACACTTCACAGCCACATTTGAAGCTGCTTGATTAACCAGTGATCCCTACACTTCTGTGCCATCCCACTGTCTCATAGGACAAGGTTGTCAGTAAAGCTGTGCTGACCACACTATAAATCATCTACAGGTGTAATAAGCTCCGAGTTGTGATTAGAGCCCAAAATGAAAAACTAGCTGCAACTATGTCAACAAGCTCAGCTGTAAACTGCAAAACACAAAGGGGCTAGAATGCACCAGGTGAGGTTCAGATGATCAATTCCTGCATTAAACTTGCTTAATACAAGACAAGACCAGTTTAAGATACAACACAGTGTGACTGGTCGACAATGGCACCACACTATTATATCTTTGACATTAATGTTATTTTATGGCCGCTGTTATTGTCTGGATTGCTAGCAAAAAACATGTGATGATTATTAGAGCAAGATAATAAACTTCTTTAGTTCTTAATTCTCACTAGCCTGGGACAATCCTGGGAGAATGTCACCCTTGGTCTTTCTTGTACAGACCTAATTTTGTCAGACCATACCTGGCAATATTCTCACAGTGTGGCCCTTACACTTGGCTTATAACAAGTATTATTGTTATTTAGGACTCACCATCACAGGCTAATACTATAAACTCGTGATCTGGAGTAACATCTTTCGTTATAACATCAGGCATAGCTAAAGTAAATAAAAAACAACCATCCTTATAAATTACACAGGCATTCAAGTTTTTGTAAATGTAGTAACACGTCTACAATTTTGCTAACAAATGTTTAAATGTAAAAGGGTTGAAACGTCAGTTCTACATGATAGTGGAATTGTCTTGGTCTTCTGTTTTGTTGGTCCTTAGCAAACCTTTGTCTTGATAATTTACAACAGCATGGTCAATATAATCCCAAAAATTTGTCATAACCCAATATAAATACTAAAAAAATACCAAGCAATTCTCTTGCATGCTCAGGTGAACAACAGCACAAGTAACTATTAAATAAATAATTGAAGAAACCCCATAAACACTGCTGAAACTGATTGTTTAGTAAGTGATGTTGATACCTGTAACAATCTGTTCCTCTGCAGACTTCTTATCGTTCTTTTTGAAGCAGAAATCTCCAAGTGCCCGGGATAAGGCTAAGTTACCTGAAGGAAACAAGAAACAAACTTTCCTATTATACATAATGGTAAGCCTCATAAGTTTAGTGGCACATGAAGGATAGCACAAGACCAGTCTCTGTCATCGCAACTCACCCTGGATGGGATTCTAGTTGGCCCCTGGCTACCCCCCACCCCTTAAACTTTGTCAGGGTTATGCTACCAGTTCATTGGTGCCCATTTGTAACACTTTGGTGTAGATAGCAAATGGTACAGCAAAGTAGACTTCACCATTATGCCAATGCATTTCACACCCTATCAAAAGAAATACACGTAATTATGACTTTTTTGAGCAGTCATTAAATTGTCTACATACCATTTACTCTGTTAAACTCTACCCAGCCACCAGCAGCAATGATTCTTCTTGTTTCATCTTAAAGAGAAAAGAAGCTCATAACCATCATAAGCCTTCTCCAATAAGGTGAGCAAAGCACACTGTAAAGTCATTTCAGACTACTAACAAACAGTAATATCAGTGTTCCATTATAACCTTTCTCTAAGTCAATAATAAGTTTAAAATATCTACAAGTTCATGTTGCAAGAGAAATGGATCCCTTGTTCTTGGACTTCATGTCATAACAAATAACGTTATAACAATTCCAAGTTTCACAAAATTACTTGGGTAAATCTTTTTCAATGTCTGCAATCCACACCTGCACATCACAGCCAAGGATTGATTGTGAGTTTTGTTAAATTTTTACACAAGAAAAATAATTGAAGTATCTAGGAAGATTTCAGCCTAGAAAAAACGTTTTATAGTATTCAGTACTACCATCATTGCTGGGTTTATGATCATAGGACAACTGTTCTACTGCTCCTTTCTTTGATGCAATTGCTCTAGAGTCACCAACATTTCCCTGATAAAAACAACATAGACAAACAATGCATGTTTAAAATTACAAGAGACAGCTCTGAAGAAGTACACAGCAAAAACATAAGTCTACTGGTTTAAAGTGCCTATGAAGTAAAAAATAATTCCTGCTTATTTGAAAGGCTTTTCAAAGTAAAGAGGAATGGCATTTTCCTTTTTGGAATATCTTTTTTCATTTAAGAGATATTTGCGTTTTTGTAAGGAAAGTGATGACGTCATAGGTGGTTCCTCTAAAACAGCACAACACTCAATTGAGAATAACTCTAGAAATATTAAAACTGTGTTCTTCAAACTTGGCACCAGAAATGTACATCACAAAAGAAAGAGAATGACACCTACTATGCTGTTGCCATGGCAACACTCTTGGCTCCAGATTCTTTCTGTGAAAAACCAAATATCCCCATTTGCAACATTTTCAAGTGGAACAGAGGGTCTTGCTCATAACACGCATGGTTCCCATATTGTCTTAACTCTCCCCATTAGATTGGTGGGAGTAGATGATCCTTGTTTAAGATAAAATCTGGGAATTTTAGTCTTCATTAAGACAGAACCAGCGGCATAATTGTTGTTATGGCAATGGCACGACAGGTGTCACTATGTTTCTTTTGTGATTTACATTCCTGGTGCCAAGTTTAAAGTACACTGCTTTAATATTTCTAGAGTAATTCTCGATTGACAGGGCTTGAAAAAAACTTGAATTCCAACTTGCCCTTGGGACAAGTATCTCTCAAGTTTTGCTTGCCCATGGCAAGTCTTAGTTTGCCCTTTTAATGATTTAGTTGGCGGCTGACTTGCTTGGTCTCTTGCCCATTGGGCAAGTGAGAATGTAAAGTTACTTGCCCAGAAGGAAAATCTACTTGTCCGGGGCAATGGGACAGCACTTTTTTTGAGCCTTGATTGAGTGTTGTGCTGTTTTGGTGGAACCACCTATGACGTCATCACTTTCCTTACAAAAACGTAAATATCTCTAAAACAAAAAAAGATATTCCAAATAAAAACACCATTCTTCTTTACTTTGAAAAGCCTTTCAAATAAGCAGCAATTATTTTTTACTTCATAGGCACTTTAAATATTAAATTCTTCCTTATTCGAGTGCGGCGTTTATTCGAGGGTGGCATTTTTACAAGGGTGGCATTTATTTAAAGTTCAATTTGTTTCTTGCAAACAATAGTATGGTAAGAGCATTGAAAGAGCATTGACGTATACTCACTTCAAACTAAAGGACATCGTTATCAATGAAAGCAAATTTCCAAAGCTTATTTAAACAGAACTACCATATATTGTTCTTGTGTTTTGATTATATTCCTTTGAGCCTCGAATGTACTGATATTAAAACATTGTTACAATCAAGGAAATAATATTTTTAGGCTTGCTCAAGCTTGATTATTACCAGATTTGCTTTTTGAGTTTATTATTCAAATAAATGCCGCATCATGATGCGGCATTTATTCAAGGGTGGCGTTTATTGATATTTCTGCTCTAAAGTGCAGCATTTATTCGAGGGCAGCGTTTATTTGAGGATGGTGTTAAATCAAGTAAATACAGTAACCTCTGAAGATCTGAAATTTAAGGGATTTCCTCTTTGCCATTACCGGTACCTCTCTTCAATTACCTGCCCGTAGAATGAGTGACTGTCAGTATAAGATTTAGCATAAAATAAGGCTAAAGCAACAGCTTGTAATGTATATCTGATACCACATTTCACAGAATCTGATATTTGGTTAATCAAAGACTAGATGTATATAGAGTCATGTCTATTAGGTATCAGTGTTGTGGCAAACAGTATCAGGATATGAATTTGTATCTGATTTACAACAGTGTTATAATATTTTTTACATGTACATTATAATTATTTCATTTTGTTCTTTCATGAAATGGTAATTCATTCAGACCCTTGTTTTGTTCATAGAACGTTCAGGTGATCAACCCACACAAAAAGTAACTGTCCATGAATCAGACAAAAAAGTGAATGTCACAAGTGCAAGTAGCAACAATACAACCAGTAGTAACACTGTGGATGACAAAAATGGCCTGTACGCAGAAGAATACTTTAGTTCAGGGTCTGATGATGAACACCTAGTTGGTGGTCAAGGTTCAAAGTCGAAAGAAAGAAGAAAAGTGTTAACAAATGATGAACTGTTTTATGACCCGGACATGGATGATGAAGATGAACAGTGGGTTATTAAACAGAGACAGGACCACAGAAAGAAAGGTCTGTTATCAAATATCCACATGTATGTATTGTGTAAAGCTGTCTTTAAGAGGGAGGTTTGCACAAGAGATGAGGATTTGGGATGAAAAAGCAGATTAGTGGGTGGTATGTTGTCTAGTTCCTGTACGGCTTTCTCCCAGCCTGCCTTCAGGGCCAATTGATTCCAGTGACGTACA